TCAAAGCCTTCATTTCCTCACCTTAGGGGAGAATCTTGCTGACATGATGCAGGTGTGTGAAGTCATGGGCAGGTCAGAGAAAGCGAGCGGGGCACGTCAGTTCTGTGTTCCTTACAGGAAACTGTGATGCAGCAGGGCTAAAATAAACACAAGGAAGTTCTGTTTCTCACAACATGCTATTAAATGTGACACTCTGCCACAGGACGTGCTGCCACCCGATAGCATCAGTGGTGCTGGGACCAGTGGGAGCATCAGAGCTAACGAAGCAGGTCTGGGAAGTTCCTGAGCTCTGGTGGTTTGTGGCTGGACTTTCCCTATTGCAGTATCATTGGTCTCCAGTCATCACTTCCCCCTGTGCTCCTTTTTACAGCTACCCCCGAGCAGGGTGGGAGTGTCTGGTGGAGGTCATGACTTCAGAAATTTGTAAAACAGCTGTAAAAGCTAAATATAATACTATATATTGATGTCATATCAAAGCTGGCAGTCCCTGGCAGCAGTCAGCCCTGTAGAAGTCTCTGTGGATACCAAGCAGTGGCTCTGAGGAAGAGCTCAGCACCAGTGAGGTGCCCGTGAGGGTGGTTTGTCATGGTGTAAGTGCTTACAGTGCTTCACAGGGATGTTTTTGCTAGGCTCATAAGCTTCAAATTAAAAGATACCAAGATGATTTTGTCTGAAATCTATGGTGGGACACAGCCTGAAGATCATTGCTTAGTTATTAGTGTGAAATCCACACATTCCAGCTCAACCATGGCTTGCTTCTTTTATTTGATCTTAAGAAAACTGACATTGATGTCATTGAGAGCTTCAGGGGGTGGAACTGTGACCTTATCTTTGCAGTTCATTTGGGTCTTTCCTAATCAGCCATTTGTTGTCACAGTGTTTTACTCCTGTGGATATACTTGAACCATGCTAAAATTAATTTAATGAGTATTTAATTGATTAAATTATTATATCAGGCTTCTTAAGCTCTGTTTTAAGTTGAGTTTCCCCATCTTCCTGATTCTCATAGAGCTTTCTGAATCCTCTTCAATTTGAGTTTTCAAAGTGTAGACATGAGAACTGAGCGAGGCTGTTCAGTGGTGGCTTTGGCAATGGGGTTCCATGGATCTGTGTGATCTGAATAGACTGTGAGTTGAGCCATGAAATGGCAGAGGTTGTAACAATCTCCATCCAAGCCCTCTTCTTTTCCCCAAAACTCTACAAAACCAGTGTTAGAACGGACCAGGGCCTTGATGTAGTTTCTCCCATGAAGGATGGGGAGAAGTCAAGGTCTGGCTTCTCCTCAACACCCATGTTGTCATAAAGCCTAGATGAGCACTGGGGTTTGCTGCTTTGTGCACGGACACTGATATCTTGAGGCTAATTGCTGAATAAGAAATGTATCTTTATGGGAGGGAGATTGAAACTAGATGATCTTTAAGCTCCCTTCCAACCCAGACTATTTGTGGTTCTTTGATTTCACTGTGAGCTCTGCTGAGGTCTTGTGCCTTACTTGGCATCCCTGTACCTGGAGAACATCAATTACTTCTGCTTTGCCTCACACCACACCTGCTCAGGCTGTGAAATTCCTGATGGACACTGTAATTCATGGAATTATGGAACCGTTTGGGTTTGAAGGGACTTTACAGATCATCTCATTCCAAGCCCCCTGCCATGGGCAAGGGCACCTTCCACTTTAGATCAAGTTGCTCCAAGCCCCATCCAGCCCGGCCCTGAACACTTCCAGGGATGGGGCATCTACAGCTTCTCTGGGCAACCTGTGTCAGTGCCTGACCTCCCTCACAGGGAAGAACTTCCACTCCTTCAGTTTGAACCCATTCCCCCTTGTCCTATCAGTATAGCTCCTGATGCAGAATTGCTCTCCAGCTTCCTTATAGGCCCCTTCAGATGCTGCAAGATTGCTATGAGGTCTCCATGCAACCTTACCTTCTCCAGGCTCAATGGCCCCAAATTTTTCAGCCTGTCTTCACAGGTTGTTTTCATTCCTGATGCCATTCTGCATGCAGCTATATCCCTGCCATGCCAGAGTGCTAGGGTAACTGGCAAGGTGTGGGAGTTCTTCTCATAGCATATTCTGATATTTTGTGTGTAGTCACAGTGTATTTCCATTTCGAAGCCTAATGAGTTAACTTTTGCTGATGTTTGATGTACAAAGCTGCTTCTGGTTCCCATACTGTGACGTTCTGCAGTCCTGAGCAGCCAACAGGTATCTGGATGCGTGGCCAAGGCTTTACAGGTATTTGTATGGCTGATTTCCACAATTCTCAGGTTCATCACAAAGCAGCACTTGTTCTAAAGGCCCTGCCTTGCTCAACCAGGGAGGCAGTGCACAGAGCCTCTGGCCAATGTCCAGCCTGGTCCTGACCTATTCAGAGCCCAGTACTGACAGCAAAGAGCTGTCTGCTCCAGGTCATCCCTGTTAAAAGGAGCTTGTGGACTGTGGACAATTGCCATTGTGCCCTTGAGCTGAGCAAAGTGCAGCACCCCTGACTGAAACAACTGAGTTGGCCCAACACTCCTTGGTCTGGAGTCTTTAAACCCTCCCCAGGGCCACACAAGTGGGACTCTCCCTGTTTGACCCACCAAGCTCTGCACCTCCACCCAAGCTGGCTGCATCTTCTGCCTGCTTCCCTGGCCTGTTTCATTTCAAATTAAGGCCTCTCTGGCACAGAGGATGGGAGAGGCATCTTAAGTCCATATCTGATTCTACGGCTTGCTTCTGTTTCCCATGCTAAATGACAGCCCTGCTGTCCTGAGGTGGATTTCACTGGAGCCAAAAGCACCCAGTTTTGTGGGTGGTTGGCTTGTGTGGAACCTGCTTGGCTGGATCATTAAATGAGATGGTTTTACTACGTCATAGCTGTTCCCAGTGTCCAGACAAATTTGATTTGATAGGTACTGAAATTTCCAGAAAATGGTGGAACAAGTGATGAGGAAGAAAGTTGGAATTGCAGGTGAAACACTTCACTGGCAGAGAACAGTGAAATTGTGTGTGGTGCTATGACAAAGCGTTTTCTTTCTCGCTGGATTTGTGTGTTGATCATGGGCAGGGGATAAATGAAGTTATTAGACTTAGAAATGCTCTAGGAAAAGCTACTTAGGCAGCAGTTTTATGTATATTAATACACCCTGATGGATACCTGTAGCAAAAGAATTGGTGAGAAAGTGTGAAGTTGATAAAATATTCATACACAGCATGGTGAACATAGTCCATGTTCCTGCACTATATGTAGTTACACAATTCATCAGTGGCTTTTGTTCCAGGAATGCATATTTAACTGGCATCTGGGCCACCCTCTGAGGTGTTATTTCTGAGAGGGATGTTTAAACCCAAATGTGTGACTTCTACAGTGTCCTCTCGAGGATGGGGTTCACCCTGTACCTAGCACTGAGCCAGAGCAGCCACGTCCTGTCTCAGTGCAGAGCAGTAGCCTTGGCTCCCTGTGATTTCTGCCTGTCTGGAGCATCCTAGATAGATGTTGGCCACAGCCACGGATTCTGCAGCCAAGGAGTGTGAGCTGCTGTGTGCTCATGCCTGAAATCTGGCAGAGGCCTTTCCTTTGTCTTTATTGTGGGTTTTCTTTAATAAGATATGGACAGCACATTCCTCTGGAGCTGTTTGTATTTTAAGACTTAAAAGACCACTTAAAAGATCAGTGTTGGACCTCTTTCTTCTAGCTTTAGCGGAGCAATAAGTCCCTGGTTTTCTGGAAGTTGTTGTGTTTGTGCTCCAGATGTGTGGACTTTGGGGCAGAACAAGAACTTTCGCACATGGGAAGTGTCATGGCAAAGCCTTGATCAGGTTGTCCCATATGGGACTGATTGCCTTCAGCTGTTTTTTTGCAGCGGGGAAATGATTCTGGAAATATTTTGAAGAGTGTTTGTTTAGGTATCATTTCCTGGCATATGGAATTATTTTCTCATCTTTTTTCTCTGTAGGTTTATGTGTGTGTGCATTAAATTACATCAGATGTAATTTAATATGGAGGTTTTGGCTTTAGATCTGACACCTCTGAGCTTCTGTTTGTACTTTCCCAAAGACTGGTACTTCTTCCTGGCCTGGCATTTTCATCCTCACAGCAATTTGAGGAATAGATTTGTTTTTCCTTATAGCTGACTCGTGTAAGCTTCTGTTGTTTTGGTATATATGAAAAGGAGTTATAAAAAACTTTTAAGATTTTTAAAATATCAGTGAGTTTGTAACCACAAGTGGAAGGCTCAGAGAGAAAGATCTTGAGCCCTGTCTTTATGGACACACTGTTCTTTCTGCCAAGAATGATTTATGCTGCTTCCAGGTTGGGGAAAAATATCAAACAAAAGGTTCTGGATATAGAGAACACCCTGGTTTTATAGTTTCTTGTTGCTTCCTCTTCTCTGGAAAGAGGCTCCTGGCCTGGAACTTCCTGGTGGCAGCTCCAGCTGTATGGGGCAATAAAATTGGACAGCCAGGAGACTCCAGCCCCAGCCCAGCCCCCTCCATACCTCTCTCGTGTTCTCTCTGTGGGCTCTGCAGAGCTTTGCTAACAGCTGGCAATCGCAGCTCAGGCAAGGCCCTTTTCAGGGTTGCCCTGGCTTCATTAACCGAGTGAGGATTAATCATATTAAGATCCTAATTGGTTGGACTGTGTGCCTAATGCCGTGCAGCATCAGTGGGAGCTTTCCCAGGCACATGTGGATGGGATGAAGTGCTCTGGCTGCAGCCAGAGCTGGACTGTGTAATGAGCACTGCTGTGACAGCTCCTGTCCTGCTCACCCAGACACAGCTTGGCAGGAGCTGGCAGCACTTGGCTGATGGCTTCACTTGCCTAATCTCTGGTGACAGGGATGTCCAGGCAAGGTGGACACTGGGTAATTCAGGGCCTCAATAGCTAATTTGAAACCCTCTCGCCTTAGATGTCTTCTCTCTGAAACCTGAAGGGGGAAGTGCTTGTGTTTTGCTTGCTCAGCTGATACCATAAACGTTTCCTCTTTCCCCAGTTGCTGTGTGAGACACTGCAGCCATGTCTGACTTTGTAGAAAGCGAAGCAGAGGAGTCAGAGGAGGAGTACAACCAGGATGGGGAGGTTGTGCCCAGAGTAACCAAGAAGTTTGTAGAGGAAGATGAGGATGGTGAGTTTGCTGAATTGTCTGTGTGCCTCGCTGCTCTATTCTGCATCCCATGACTCTGCAGATGGAGAAATAACTGTGCTATGTTACCAGAGCTACCTGTAGTCAATAATCTCAGCTGTTTAAGTGCTTCCCTTCCTCAAAGTACTTAGGTGTTTTTTATATTTGGCAATAAAAATACACTGCTTCACTCCTGTGGGACTTGCAGTCACAGAATTTTATAGTAAACAGTAAAAGCAGAAGAATTCTCACAGTGTGACCACTCCACCTGCTCTCTCTGCCGAGAGAACGTGAGGCCATGAGACAAGAAGTGGGGTTGTGGCATGAGCAGATGCCTGGGTTGTTTGTCAGTAAAAGTGTTCAGTTAAAGCTCTGTGTGGATGGTGTGAAGGAAGATGCTGCTTGCACTGAGCCGAGTCTCAGTGGGTAACCAGTGAGTGAACATCCATCTGACACGTGCTGGTCTCCACCCCAGATGAGGAAGAGGAGGAGCTGAATCTCGACGATCAAGATGAGCAGGGCAACCTGAAAGGATTCATTAATGATGATGATGATGAAGAAGAGGAGGAAGAAGCTAGTGACTCTGGAGACTCTGAGGATGATGTTGGCCACAAAAAGAGAAAGCGCAGTAAGTTTTATGGTGGTTGTTCGTAGCAGACCACAGTGTAATACTCTGACCCTGCCCTGCCAGAGAGCAGAGCTCTCCCTCTGCCCTAGGTGCCTGCATGGGCTGGATAAGCTGTATACTTCTGGGCTAGGTGCATTCCCACATTAGTAAAGGGAGAGTGTAACTCATCTCTGGTCTCTTCTCTAGCTTTTGATGACCGCCTGGAGGATGATGATTTTGATCTCATTGAAGAGAACTTGGGTGTCAAAGTCAAAAGAGTGAGTTGTGTTCTTATGCTGCTCTTAATGGTGTGCTGTGTCTTGGCACAGAGGAGGGTGGGCTCCAGCATGGAATGAGTGAGCAATGCCTCGCATCTGCTCCTGACCTCTTGGAAAGGGACAGCACTTTCTTCTGCACGGTGCTAACCTCAAAGTCATCACAGGCTATTATGGGCTCGAAAGCTCCTTTGGTAACAGTTGCTAGAGGCACATCAAGCCAGGCCAACACTGGTGGTGACAGCATGGAAGTGACACCAGCACAGCTCCTGAGGGGGTGGCTCTTCTCTCCTGTGTGCCTGTGCTGGGCTCCATCCTGCTCCCTGTCAGGTGCCTGTGGAGGAAGTGCAGTGCTGGCCTGGCAAAGCCCACACTGAGCTCAAGTGCTATGCCAGGATTTTTTTTTGTGCTTAACAAGGCGTTTTCCTTCCAGCAAAAATTCAGGCGTGTGCGAAAAATGTCTGATGATGAGGATGATGAAGCAGAAGACTATGGAAAGGAAGAACATGAGAAAGAAGCCATTGCTGAAGAAATCTTTCAGGATGGGGAAGGCGAGGAAGGAGGGGAAGCTGTTGAAGCCCCTGTTGCTCCACAGGAAGAGGAAGAGGAGGAGGAGGAAGATGAATCCGGTGAGTATGGGTTGTTAATTACATCCAAAGTTTGTCCTAGGATTAAAGCTCAGGAACAAAGTTCAGACTTTCTCTGAGCTAGAAGTAACCAAAGGCTGTGACCTTGTCATAGTAAAGCTCCTGCTGGTCTGGTTAGTACAGTCTTTAAAATTAAACATGTCTGGGTGACAGGTTTAGTTTGTCTGTCTAAACCACTTTGTGCAGAAGCACTTTATGTGTGCTGAGGTATTGAAGGTCTTCCTTAAGCTGCCTCAAAACAGAAAATGCTTCAAAGGAAGGGAATCAAGGCCCTGTTTTGTACCTAGTAGCACAGTGCATGCCTGCCCAACTTTTCCTGGTCATCAGCCTGTCACTGCTGCTGCCACCACACTGAAAGAGTTTCCAGAATTGCTGTCCAAAGCTGCAAGGCCTTTCCTGACTGCATTCTCAGTGCACTGAGCTGCAGATAATTGCCAAATGCTTTGCCTGTGTCTGGAAGTTCGTTCTAGCTTGTTATTGTGGTTCAGGCTCCTGGAATGTCCAAGGCTGGTGTAGGAGATGCTGTGGGGAGCTGGGCAGACTGACAGCCAGGGGCAAGCTTAGGTCTGTGGTGGAGGCTCATAGCTGCACTGGCTGAGCTGAGCTTTATCAGAGGTACCGGTTAAACATGCAAGTATCCTGACCACTAAATTGTTTCTCAATGTTCAGACATCGATGATTTCATTGTGGATGATGATGGACAACCTCTGAAGAAGCCAAAATGGAGAAAGAAGCTTCCAGGATACACAGATGCGTAAGTATTGATTGGAAATTGGCCTGGAGCCTCGAAAACGGTGCTCAGCTTACTTAGTTCTTGCAACTGCAGAGTGATTCAGCTTGTGGTTGGATACTGCTGGTCTCCCTCCCCAAAGGAACCTGGTAAATTTAAACATGGAGCTTCTAACCTGTGATTTCTGAAATCTGTGACTTATTCCTTTCTCCCGTGGGTTTTTTTTTTTTAAAGAGATACCAAAACCAGAGTCTTAAGAGAAGTGTTTGCATGTAAAGCTCATGGTTGTGTACCTGTCCCTGATTTTTTAGCCTGGGTAGAAAATTAAGGTTTAGACTCAGGTACCCCTGGCCTCCACTGTGTGCTGTTCTGTGAACTGCACTGTGGGGCTGAACCATAGTTTTTGCCTTCCAGTGCTTTGCAGGAAGCCCAGGAAATCTTTGGTGTGGACTTTGACTATGATGAGTTTGAGAAGTACAACGAGTACGATGAGGAGATGGAGGAGGAATATGAGTATGAGGATGAAGAAACCGAAGGGGAGACTCGTGTACGACCCAAAAAGACTACCAAGAAGCGTGTCAGTCGGCGCAGCATCTTTGAGATGTATGAGCCCAGTGAGCTGGAGAGCAGTCACCTCACAGACCAGGACAATGAGATCCGCATGACAGACATGCCAGAGAGGTTCCAGGTGAGGGAAGAGGCTGCAGGTGTGCAGGCAGAAAGCGTTTTCGTTCCCACTGAGCATTTGGTTCCCAGGCCTGGGAGCTGCAGGCCCGGTACCACCTGGTTGCTACTGGATTGGCATCTCTCTTTGCCTCTTTGAAGGTCCTACCTTTTAAATTATAGGCTAAAACTCTGCATTCAGTCATATCAGTGACTTGGGAACTGCTGTACCTGTATAAGCTCAGGTTTAGCCCCGTTCACAGTTTCCCTGTGGCCACTGGGTGCCAGTGTTGCACTGCTAGGAGTGGTGCTGAGCTTGGGCTCTGCTGAGATGGCTTTGTGCTGGATGCTGTTAGGAATCCCTTGAGCTGGACCTTTGGGCAGCAAGAGGTGCAGTGCCAGAGAAGGTTTGGAAGGGTTTCTAGCCTATCTACATACCAGCCAACACACAACTGCTGTAACCCACTTTATTCCAAGGTACTGTGTCTTACACTGCTCTCAAAAGAGAGAGGCTGTGAGGAATCATTCTGGTGTCTCATACTTTTGCCTAAATTTGACTCTGGATTCAGATTTCCACTGAACAGTGCAAGCCCTGGTGTTGGAACTGCCTCTGCTCATGCTGTTGTCTCTCCACAGCTGCGATCCATCCCAGTGAAGAGTGCTGAAGATGATGAACTGGAGGAAGAAGCTGACTGGATTTACAGGAATGCATTTGCAACACCTACCATCTCCTTGCAGGTAAAAGACTATGCCTGAGACTTGTTCCAAGAGTCTGCTGAGAGGAATGTAGTGCCCAATACACCTTCCTTTCCGGTTTTGAGGAGGTCAATTCACAGACACATGTCTTCATTTTCACATCCATAAAACATGACAGAAAGGAACACAAAGAAGTTGCAAGAATAATTGTCAAGAGTGGTTGAAAGATCTCTGAGTCACTGTGCACTTAGGGACAAACTAGTGTTAGTCACGATCTGCTTTTGACCATAAGTTACCTTGGCCAGGTGCTGCTTTTGCCTTTTTCTTTAAGCCAATCAGGCTTAAAGTCAGGCCACAGATGCTTCTCTGTGGTCTAAAATCAGTGTGTTCCTAAGCCTGCATTCCCAGCTAACAGAAGAACACCGTTTTCCAGCTGTAGCCTGGGCAATTCTTTAAGGGATCAGCTCAGGAATATGATCAACACAATGTGTTTTTCATGTTTAGGAAACTTCTGACTACCTTGACCGTGGACAAGCCAGCAGCAGCTTCGGCCGCAAGGGGCCCAGCACCATCCAGAAGATTAAAGAAGCCCTGAATTTCATGAGAAATCAGCATTTTGAGGTAATTTGCAGCTCTGCATCATTACTAAGGTCTCAGTTGCTGCCTCCATATCCAGACAGGATGAGCAGAGAGGCTGCTGGAAATATTTAGGGCAGCAGATTAGAAGGGGCTGACATACCATACCTTTCCTGTGACAAAATGTTGCTTCATTGGGAAGTGCAGCTCATTTTATGTGACCTATGGCAATGCAGGTTTTTAAGGCCTGTTTGATGGGGTTGCTGTCACTGTCTTTCCCTGATCCTCAACAAATTGATGCTAAATGAGATGAGGGAATTTCAGTTTTATGAGCCTTACTTGGTCCATTCAGCTCTTCGCTGAGGTGTTCCCTGATGTTGTTGAATTTTTTTGGTCTGTGTGGTATATTCTTTTGTGGAATAAGAGCTGGGGCATGGCTTGGCAGCTCTTCGGTGTTCCCTGATGTTGTTGAATTTTTTGGTCTGTGTGGTATATTCTTTGGTGGAATAAGAGCTGGGGCATGGCTTGCTGCATCTCCTATACTGCTGCCCCTTTAGCTTCTTCTCCCACATGGAACAGGAGCGTTCTCTGGGCTGCTGGCTGCCAGGAACAGCCCAGTGTCCTGCACAGTGGTGATGAGTCTCACTTCTGAGTGTTCCCTGATGTTGTTGAATTTTTTGGTCTGTGTGGTATATTCTTTGGTGGAATAAGAGCTGGGGCATGGCTTGCTGCATCTCCTATACTGCTGCCCCTTTAGCTTCTTCTCCCACATGGAACAGGAGCGTTCTCTGGGCTGCTGGCTGCCAGGAACAGCCCAGTGTCCTGCACAGTGGTGATGAGTCTCACTTCTGACACAGGTCCCGTTCATCGCCTTCTACAGAAAGGAGTATGTGGAGCCAGAGCTGCACATCAATGACCTGTGGAGAGTGTGGCAGTGGGATGAAAAGGTGAGGAATGTTTTCACTGCCAGTCGTCCTTTCAATATTTAACATGTCTCCTCACCTAGCCTGATACATTCAGCAGATTGTTTTGGCCATGGAAACTTTGTGTGGGTTTTTTAACCCATGTTTTTTTTCATGTTTACTGTTATGTGATGATAAGGTGTTACCTGACAAAAGAGGATTCAAAACAATCCTCCACTTCACCCAGGTTTTTTTGTGTAGTGACCTTCCCTGCCAGCAGTGCAGGTTCCTTCTCTACTATCAGGTAGATCCAAACCTTGATTATTTTTTTTCCTCTGTTAAAATCCACCTCTGAGATGAGATCTGCCACATGTGTCACATTGGGGCTTGGCTGTGGTTGGAGATTTTGATGATTATTTTTCTATGACAAATATCCCAAGATCCTGTGACCCCCCCCCTCAGTTTGGGAAGGGAGGAGACAGACACTGCAGTGGTGTGTTTCACTGGGATTCTGTTGTTCTCACATCAGTGGACCCAGCTGAAGATCCGCAAGCAGAACCTGACACGACTGTTTGAGAAGATGCAGGCCTACCAGTATGAACAAATCTCTGCTGACCCAGACAAGCCCTTGGCTGATGGAATAAGGGCCCTGGATACTACTGACATGGAGAGGTGTGATGCCATGACTTTCCTGTATTCATTCCAAAAGTAGTTAAAATGTGTGTTAACTTGCCCAAACAGCACAGGCTCTATGGCCAGGGCAGAGCATTGATTTTAGCCTCCCCCATAGAGCCAGTAATGAGAAATACTTCAAACTCTTTGGGAAGATGATACTCTTTCTCCCTGATCTGAGCAGATTCCTCGAGTGCTCTGACCACAGCTCAGCTGCAGGCAGGGTGTAACATGTTGACTTTGCTATCATAGGCTGAAGGACGTGCAGTCCATGGATGAGCTGAAGGATGTGTACAATCACTTCCTGTTGTACTATGGGCGAGACATCCCCAAGATGCAGAATGCTGCCAAGGCTGCTCGAAAGAAGCAAAAGCGTATCCGAGAGGATGGTGAAGAGGAGGAAGGTTTGTCTCCTTGGATTTGATAGTTTCCTAATTGTGAGCTGCTGGAGAATCCTGGTTCAAAAGAATAGTTGAGAAAGCTTGTTGAAAAGCCTATTGCTTGCACAGAGCATCTCTGCTGTTCCCTTCTATCTCAAGTCGGTGCCAGGTCTTCCAGGCACCTCTGAAAATGTTTAGTTTGTCACACAAGGTGCTCTTTCCAATGGAATGTGAATACCACCCCTCATGGCAGGGGCCAAAACAAGGATCAGCCACCTTGCTGTATGTTTTAATGTACAACCCAGACATAATGCTATCAAAACTGCAAAAGAGTGAAACTGAAGATAGTGTTTTTAGGGTCCTTTTCCAACCCTGAATAACTTTAAGGCTACTGTGACCTTTGAGATGCGTTTGTGGGATTTAGAGACTCTGTTGCACAATGTAGGTTTTGTTTAATCCCTTTGCTGTGCTTCTGACATGCTCCAGCTGTCTGGATGCCTCTGTAACGAGACCTTGCTAAACATAACCTTCCTACAGGTGAAGGGGAGGATGCAGAAGATGATGAGCAGAAAGGACCTGAGCTGAAGCAAGCTTCCCGTCGGGATATGTACACCATCTGCCAGGCAGCTGGGCTGGGTAAGGCTGTGCTCTGTCATGCTGAGCAGTGGCCTGGCCCACATGCTCTGCTGGATGCTGTGACTTAGCTGTAGAAGGAAGATTGATAATTTTACTCAGTGTAAGCTGGTACCTTTGTCCTCATTGGTTTTCTGTTTGGTTTTTTTTTACTAGATGGCCTGGCTAAGAAATTTGGTCTGACACCTGAGCAGTTTGGGGAGAATCTCCGAGACAGTTACCAGCGCCACGAGACAGAGCAGTTCCCTGCAGAGCCCCTGGAGCTGGCCAAGGATTATGTGTGTAGGTCAGTGTGGGGGGATCTTTGTGCAAGTCTGGCAGATGTGACACAAGTGAGGGTATCTGGGGCCATTCTCAAGCCCTAAGCCTTCATGCTGCTTTTTCCCTTGTAGTCAATTCCCAAGCCCTGAAGCTGTGCTGGAAGGAGCTCGGTACATGGTGGCTTTGCAGATAGCCAGGGAGCCCTTGGTCAGACAGGTCCTGAGACAGACTTTCCAAGAACGAGCTAAAATCAACATTTCACCAACCAAAAAGGGGAAGAAGGTAAGGAAGGAAGCTCTGACTCTGTGGGTCAGTTCAGGGAAGGATCTAAATAACACACAAAGGCTTGTTCTCCCATGTCAGTGGCAACTCTGAATAAACCTCAGAGCAGCACGTGAACTGGGCTGTTGCAGAGGCCAGCTCAGCAGCATGCTGCATTTTTAGTCTCAGTGTTTCATCAGACCTGATTCTCACTGTTGATATGTTGCCTTCAATTATTGGAGCAGTCTGTGTCTCTCTGGGACTGGGAATGAATTCTGCCGTGTCCTGCTGGGGAAGGAAATGCAGACTGGCAGGCATGGGGCTGAGGGGGTATTGAATCAAAACCATTGTCTGACATGGTATACAGAGGGGTCTTTCTTCATGAATGCCCTGTGTGCATGCTGACTGTCTCTCTTCTTTCCCAGGATATTGATGAAGCCCACTATGCCTATTCCTTTAAATACTTGAAGAACAAGCCTGTGAAGGAGCTGCGAGATGATCAGTTCCTGAAAATGAGCCTGGCAGAGGACGAGGCTCTGCTCACTATAGATATCAGCATTGACATGAAAGGAGTGGAGGGGTGAGTTCCCACCAGCTGTGCCTTGGCAGAGCTCATTCATCCAGTGCTGCTGTGTTCTCAGAGCTCCTCTGTAACCCAAACTGCACCTGAAGGTCATGGCCTGGTAGTTTTCTGCACCTTAATGTTAAACATCCTCTCAGGGTCTTGCTTTTTTCATCATAGTGAAAACTTGAGCAGACACCTGGCTTACTCATTTGAAGGCAAACTCTGAAGCCTTTGGGATTTTTGTGGAAGGTGATGCTTGTTTCCCAACCACTATGTGTTCATTGGTTCCTTCCCTCTGAGTGGCCACACTATGCAATATGGGTGTGCTGGAGTGGCTGTGATCTGTCTACAGCATAACTTCTACAGCTAAAGCAGTATTTGGTGGCAGGATTGGCTCTTCCCTATTTTTTCCAGGCAGCTCTCTGAATCTAAGGTGCTGCTATTGCATCCCCTTACAGTAATCTGCCAGTGATGGTGTCAGTGCAGGCACCTGGAGCCTTTCTGTACCTCCTTCTCTCCTTTCTTGCAGTTATGGTAGTGACCAGACCTACTTTGAGGAGATCAAACAGTTCTATTACCGGGATGAGTTCAGCCACCAGGTGCAGGAATGGAATCGGCAGCGCACGATGGCCATTGAGCGCTCCCTCAACCAGTTCCTCTACGTGCAGATGGCCAAAGAGTTGAAGAACAAGCTGTTGGTAGAGGCCAAGGAGTATGTTCTCAAGGTGAGATAGGAGACAGATGGGTTTGATCAGAGCTGGAGTTTCAAACGCTAACAGTCCCACAGTGTGCTGGGGATAGCTGCTGACAGGCCACACACAGGAACTTGGGGAGGAGGAGGAGGAGACAGTAGAAGTCAAGTCTGGGTCTTTGCCAAGGGTGGAGAGAAAAGCAGATATATCAGTGGGAGGGAAGATGGGCTTCACGGTACTGGAGAACTGGTCCCAGTCCTGGCAGAATACATTATCTTGCTGCTTTAAGCAAGGTCCATGACCTTCCCTCTGTGGAAGGCCTATGCCAAAGCACCTGCAGTGGATTTTCTAACTCTTCTCTCCCCTTCTCTGCACTACCCAGGCCTGCAGCCGCAAACTGTACAACTGGTTAAAAGTCGCTGCATACCGTCCTGACCAGCAAGTGGAGGAAGATGATGATTTCATGGATGAAAACCAAGGGAAGGGGATTCGGGTGCTAGGCATTGCATTTTCATCAGCCAGGTAGGAGGGAGGGAATGGCTTCTGGATGCATGTCCAGCTTTAGCAGTCCTCCATGTCTGAGTGATCTGTTTCACAGGGACCACCCCGTGTTTTGTGCCCTTGTTAATGGAGAGGGAGAGGTTACAGACTTCCTCCGATTGCCACATTTCACAAAGAGAAGGAATGCTTGGCGTGAGGAAGAGAGGGAAAAGAAGGTGAGCCTTGGTGCAGCTAGCGTTGAGATGACAGAAACCCTTTAGTTTTTCTACTCTAATCTGTCTTGCTTTCCTTACCAGGCCCAGGATATTGAAACCTTGAAAAAATTCCTCCTGAACAAGAAGCCTCATGTGGTGACAATTGCAGGCGAGAACAGGTCAGTCTTTGTGTCCTTTCCACTTCCCAATCTCTTTGCAGTCCTTTCCTCATGCCTGTCCACTTTACACTATTTCTGTCTGTGATGTGATGTGACCCATTGGGGTTGTCTCCTTAAGTGATTCCAAGACCAAACATTGTGCTCTCCCCTCAATCCCCTTGGCTGTCTCTCCCTAGGGATGCTCAGATGCTGATGGAAGATGTAAAGAGAATTGTTCATGAACTGGACCAAGGGCAGCAGCTGTCCTCTATTGGAGTGGAGCTGGTGGACAATGAACTAGCCATCCTCTACATGAACAGCAAGAAGTCTGAGGTGAACCTTCTGCTATTTTGACTATCGCTTAGTCTGTCTCCCATTTGCGCTGTCTCATCCTCCATTTGTTGTGCTGGCCCTGCCCTGCATCATCTCTGTCTCATGATCCATCCAGATGGTTGCATAGTGATCTTTGGATCAAGGCAAAACGTCTTACTTAGGCTTCCCTGAAGAGATCAGCAGCAGATGTACAAAGTGGATATTGATGTAGTCTGAAATGAATCTTGCTCAGCTGAGTGAGATTGTTTCGTTCCTAATTGCAGCAGAGGTCATGGAAGCCTTTGACCTTGGCTTCCTTCACCCTGAACACCAAATGCTTCCCTTGCTCCAGTCCCTGTCTGGCGTGGCTTTGCTGCTTCTGCTACAAAGTGTGAAGACACCTTCAGGGTTTTCCCTGCTTGTCTGTTGCAGAATGAATTCCGGGATTACCCTCCTCTGCTGCGTCAGGCTGTCTCCCTTGCTCGCCGCATTCAGGACCCTCTCATAGAGTTTGCTCAGGTCTGCAGCTCCGATGAGGATATTCTCTGCTTAAAGCTCCACCCTCTGCAGGTAAATTTTCCTTGTGAAATCCTTGGGCAAGGAAGATGCTTCTCTGCAAGAGAAAGTGGCCTAGAAGGTTTTGCTGTCAAAAAGATTCCAAGTTTAACTGGTGCACATTCTGCCTGTTCTATGCCGTATTCAGCACCTCTTTTTGCCTCCTGCCTTTAGGCTGTTCTCAGGGGTAACTCTGAGGTGCAGCACAGCTCCTGGGAGCCAGTGTGTTGTGTTTGCTTACAGCCAAGTGTTGCACAGATCCATCTCCTGCGAGGCTAACGCCTCTTCTCTCTGCCAGGAGCACGTGGTGAAGGAGGATCTGCTGAACGCACTGTACTGCGAGTTCATAAACCGTGTGAACGAGGTGGGGGTGGATGTCAATCGAGCCATAGCTCACCCTCACAGCCAGGCTTTGCTGCAGTACGTGTGTGGCCTGGGACCACGCAAAGGCACTCACCTGCTAAAGGTAAGGAGGCTTCTGTCCCTGCCTACAGGGACAGTACATCACCAAGAATGTGCAAGTGCTGTCAGGAGATGAGTCAGGGTCCCATGTGCCAGGTGCAACTCACAGCTCTGTTGACATGTGTTTTAGCATGTGTTACCTCACTGTGCCTCACCCTGAAGCTATGCATGGACTAATGTCCTTGACAGACCCAAACAGCTCAGCAGATCCATCAATCTTAGCCAGCTCCCAAACCCACAGGAATGAATGTGCTCTTACAGCATCAAGACGCCTCCATAGTGTAGAAAGCACAAGACAAAATGCCAACACTTTCCCTGGGAGTTAGAGCTGTTTTTGTGTCGAATCATCTTCTTTCACACAACGTTGAGACACAGGCAGGGTGCAACAACTTATGAGTTATGATGGGTGTGTGTCAGAGGCTTTGAACCCTGCGGTGTCCAGTGTAAGTCCTCTGCTTTTCCCAGAGAGTCACAGGATGGTTTTGGTTGGAAGGGACCTTAAAGATCATCTAGTTCTAATGTCCCTCTCATGGGCAGGGAGACCTTCCAGTAGACCAGGTTACTTAGAGCCCTGTCCAGTCTGGTCTTGAACACTCCCAGGGATAGGAAGTCTACAACCTCTTGACAGTATTGTGTCTGAATAGCAGAGTTTATACTATACCTTTCTCTCTAGATCTTAAAACAAAACAACACTCGTCTGGAGAACAGGACCCAACTGGTTACAATGTGTCACATGGGACCCAAAGTGTTTATCAACTGTGCTGGCTTCATCAAAATTGACACAGCATCACTGGGTGATAGGTGGGTATTGGGTTGTATTCAGTGTTGTGTGGAGTTAGGTTAGTGACAGACTGAAGCGACCTTGTTCCCAAGAATCCATGTTTCCAGGAGTTTTTGTGTGGCCCTTCTGATTTCTGGCCAAGTGCATGTATTGCTTGTTATATAAATCTGATTCTTAAGGGCATCTAAACTTGCACAGCAGCAGTGTGAGCTGCAGAACATGAATTATATATAGTTTGCTCTGATGTGAAGACCCTTTGTGGCCCAGAAGAACTAAACTAAAACCAATTGTTCTCTAACGTAGTCGTTAGCAATCCATATGCACTTCAGCTTAGCTTCTGGCTGGTTCTGCCAACAGTACTTTTCTGAAGTTTCAAATTTGAGGAATAACTGGGCAGTTTAGCTTCCAATTAAACCAGCAGCAGTACTGGGAAGTTTGTAGAGCTTCAGGTTACTGATAACTACACGAGAGGTGTTTTGAGGACAGCTGTAACCTCATTTCTAAATCTCTGCCTGACTGCTCTGCACAGAAGGGTCACTTGTTGGAAACATGCTTTCTCCAAGGTTTTTTGCCTTAGAAAAAAGCAGTCTGATAATGGATACCTGGCTGAATCCCTACACTGACTGGTCCAGCCTTGCTAGATCCCTGGTTCTTGAAGGATACAAATCCCAGAGATGCAGGGGACAAAGTGCAACCTTGTCCAAACAGCTCAGTGCAGATGGCTGTGCTGCCAGTTGCCAATACTGAATCTGTATGAGGAGAGAAACTGCAGAGAGCTGTGTGCTCTTGGAGCAGCTGTGGTACACAGCGGGATGAAATCCATCCAGCATCCACAATACCTGGCTGTATCTTTGCAGCGCAGGAGCTACAGACTGGAATTTGCCAGGTCTTGCCTTGGCTGCTGTTGATTTAGTGATGAATAATTAATTGGGTCCTTTTTAGAGCAGTTTGTTCCTGGGAGGGCAGTGGCAGTGCTCAGCAGCAGATTTGATTGTTGAGCTGCAGGAGCAGCTGGAACCCTTAGAACCCTTACCTGAACATTGCTTTGGTTTTATTTCAGCACTGATTCCTACATCGAGGTCCTAGATGGCTCTAGAGTCCATCCTGAAACCTACGAATGGGCAAGGAAAATGGCCGTGGATGCTTTGGAGTATGATGAGTCGGCCGAGGATGCTAATCCTGCAGGAGCTCTGGAGGAGATCTTGGAAAACCCTGAGCGCCTGAAAGACCTGGATCTCGATGCCTTTGCTGAAGAACTGGAAAGACAGGTGCACTTGGGGTTCCTGGTGCTGAGAAACAGAAAGGAAACTCTGCTGCTCAGCTTGTGTTCTTGTGTTTTATAGCTGGTGACGCTTTTCCTTTTTCGGAGCTGAGCTCTAGCTGTGCTGTTGTGAAATGTATAAACAGCCACAATGAGTACTCAGTGTCTGACAGTGGCATGTAGTAAATGCTTGCAGAAAATACACTTGGAGCAGAGGGAGGAAGGAGGCAGGAGGCAGTAATTAAACCATTTAGGCTGTTCCCCCTGAAATTATCTACGTTTTTTTCTGAATGTGTTTGTCCTTTTGACCTCTTCAACATCCTGTGACTGAGTTCCACTGTTTGATGGTACCCAGTGCTTTCCTCTTTTTTTGGATTTGCTGTTTGATAAGCTCTTTGAATTCTTCCATAACTTATTCTGGATTCCCTGTGGACCTCCTTCCTGCTGCTCATGCCTTTATAACCTTTGACTCCCACATAGGGCTATGGTGACAAGCACATCACTTTATATGACATTCGAGCTGAACTAAGCTGCAGATATAAGGACCTGAGAACTCCATATCGTTCTCCAAACACAGAAGAGGTCTTCAATATGCTGACCAAAGAAACTCCAGAGACATTTTATATAGGTACATCCCTGGTTTCTGCCATCCTAAATCGATGTAGGATGTGTAAAGGTGGGGCAAAGGGACATTGGTTAGCACGATGCGATGGTGCCATGGTTGTGTGTATGTGAAGCAGCTGTTCAAGCACCTGGGTGGTCTCCTACCACCATGCATGACTATGTTAGATCTAGGGAACTGCCCAGCTCTGGTTTCTTATTCTTTCCTTCTTCTGTCCCATCACACCACAGGTAAAATGATCATCTGCAATGTGACTGGCATTGCCCACAGGCGCCCACAAGGAGAAAGCTATGACCAGGCAATACGGAACGACGAAACTGGCCTTTGGCAGTGTCCTTTCTGTCAGCAGGATAACTTTCCAGAGCTCAGCGAGGTGAGGCTGCTTCTCCTAAAGGGCCTGCCTTCATCAGAAGTCTGCTCTTGGCAGGCTTGGGCGTTTTGTAGGGTTCATGGGAGACAAGATATCAGAGCCAAGATTGTGTCTGCAGTGCCCCGGGATCCCAACCTGATGTGGCCTTTGACTGCAAATATAATCTGGTTCACTTTTGTCTAATTGCTTCAGTATAGATTTGACAGGTCTTTTATGGCTACATTATGGATTTTAGTGAACTGGGATGAGTGAAATGGACCTGGGGCTAAGCTGACCAGTTCTTTGCAAATACATAAAGCAGAATACATAAAGCAGGTCTAGGATTGTGTTTTACACAGAGTGTTTTCCATGACACTGAGAACAGAAGGTTCTGCCACCTTCTCAATTATAAGAACTTATCTGGACCCCCTGCTGCTTAATGCAGCTGTATTTTAGGTCTCTTCTAAACACTGAATTCCAGCCTGGGTAATCTGTGACTTTAAACCCCTATAGCATTTGTTAGAAACCAGCCCTGGCTGCAGTTTTGGGTTCAGGGTCTAAAAATGTTCTGACCTTCCTGGCTGCAAAGTGCCACAAGCTGAGCAGAACTGGAGTAGGAAGATTGCATTACTGGGTAGCATTCGTTGAAGTCCTCTGTCCCTTGCCCTTCCACATGTCTCTGCTTGGCTGCACCACTTTGCTGACACAGCTCTTGGACTGGTTTGAGTGTGAACTGCTGTGGCTATTTTGTTTCCATACTGAATTACTTTTTCCTTTTGCCCTGCTCAAGGTTTGGAACCATTTTGACAGTGGTTCCTGCCCAGGTCAAGCCATTGGAGTGAAGACACGTCTGGATAACGGTGTTGCTGGCTTCATCCCAACAAAATTTCTTAGTGATAAGGTGGTCAAGCGACCAGAAGAAAGGGTGAAGGTATGAAAGCACTCGATTTTTACATGTCCAGCAATAGCTGGAGGAGCCTGGAGCCAATACCAAAGAATCAGTTTGGTTAATCACTCTGTTCCTTAAATGACTTTTCAA